CCTGCTTTCAGCCCCCCGAGTTTCTAATAGCGCCAGGAATTAATTAGGATGGAACTCCCCCCCCACCCCCCCGCTATAACCCGGCGTCCCTATTTCTTTAGCATTTACTTGTTGTCCTCTTCCCCCTTCCCCATTTCAGGGATTTAAATGAGTTAAAAGAATCTAATAATAAGTCTATGTCAAATTACAGCAGCCACAAAATACTGCGTTTGTAATTCGAGAGCTCAGTTCTCTTGTTCTCTGACTCCATTTCCTTGCTAAGGTGTGTGAGTTTGGTACCAGACGAGACGATGGGGGCAGCATTGGCAAGAGCAGCTCAGTGGACTGCTGCTGGTTCTGGAACTGGCACGCTTGAAATCACCCCTTTGAACGAATCTCTTTTGAATCAAATTATTAAGTTTGTGGAGGACTTCAGCGCTAGGCACCCTCGGGAAGCAGCAGTTGTCTTCAGAGAACCCCTCGAGTGGAAAACACAGTTGGACTCCTCGGTGTTTGGAGAGGGGTATGAGATCAAGTAAGTTTTAATTGCAGTGTGTTTTGAAATGTTAAAGTGAACAACAAAAGAAAGCTGTGCTCACTTGGTATAAAGAGAACCTTAGTGTATTTGGGAGGCTGAAATGGATAGGATATTTAATGATACATATTGAACATTCTGAGTCTAAATTTGTAAGGTTTTTGGTGAGTTTGAAACTATTCTGTGTTGGTTGTGATACAGACCTGTTTGGTTAGTGATTTAACCAACTCGCACTGATTCCTAAGACTTTTAACAATGTGTGTCTAACAGTGATTAACCCTGTGACTTCTGTTGGTGTTAAGACGTGGCTCCTTTGTGGTGGGGTAGCCTGGACTGGATGCCAGGTGCTCACCAAAGCCACTCTTTCACTCCTCTCCTTAGCTGGACAGGGGAGGGAAGTATGACAGAAAGCTTGTGGGTTGGTAAAAGGACAAGGAGATCACTCACCTGACCTGTTACCATCACAGGCAAACCAAGCTTGTCTCATGGAAATTCATGTAATTTATTACCAATCTTAAGTCACAGTAGGATAATGAGAGATAAAATGAAATCTTAAAACACTCCTTCCTGCTTCCCAACCTTGACTTTACTCCCAATTTTCTTTGCTTCCTCAACCCCAAGTGGCCCAGGGGCAGGGGAATGGGAGCTGTGGTCAGTTCATCCTGCATTGTCTCTGGTGGCCCTTCCTCCTCACACTATTCACCAGTCCTGACAGCAAACCTGCCTCAGCATGGGCTCCTCTCCACAGTGTCACAGATCCTGCCAGGAGCCTGCTCCAGTGCAGGCTTTTCATGAGATCCCAGACTCTTTTCAGGTGTATCCACTTGCTGATTTGCAGTGAATAAATGGGCACTTTTCTGTTTTACAGTTTAAAGAAAATATATGTGCTTTATTGTGTGGGCATTTTGTTTAGACTTATGTGGGGAAGAAGAAGAACCATTTCCCACAATGTGAAGCTTGAATAACATTCAAGATTCTCCTTTAAAATTTGCTGTTTACTTTATTTCTTTTTAAAAAATATATAATTTAATTTTTCCAGTGAAGCAACTGTTCAGTCTGAAGCCAAAGGTAAAGATGGCCAGCCACTGCTGCTCCTCACCGAATCAACTCTCAGAGTTCGCAGTTTTGACCAGCTGTCCTGTTTGCTACAAATTGCTATGGAAAAAAAGTTAAAGGAAGCACAGGCATGCCTTGAAGGTTTCCTTTCTTCTTTTTTTTTTTTTTTTTTTTTTCTTCTGTTGAAAAACATCTTCCTCTTCAGTTCATTTTTATGAAAAGTGAAGAAAGGCATGCCTCCATTTTAAGTATATGTGAAGGTGTTGATTCATGAAGGTGGCTAAAGATGCTTAATGAAGCTCCTATTTCTTCCTGTGATTTCATAGAAATCAGTAACAGAGAAGTGTGTAATGAAGTTAAAATAAAACTGTTGAGTCTCATATACAAATAGATGCATGCTGAGTAATACCCCAGGTATTGCAACAGAGAGTAGGTTTAAATTTCTGAAAGAGAATGTCTTATTGGAGGGTAATGGCAGTTTTTCCTATGTTTGTAATTCAATCATCTTTTAAAATGTTGCATCCTTTAAAAATAGCCACAGAAAAATTTACATGCTTAAGACATTCTTACCTACACATGATTCACACTGAGCACTTCCAGGTTGTTCTCACAATGGCTTTTAAAATACAGGTATGAGAACTTGTACTGTGCCATATTCAAGTCCTAGATTTTCAAACTGACAGTGGATATCCTCCTCTCTTTAGAGGAAGAAAAGATCAGTAATATTATTTGGTAATATTAATAGAAATTGCATCTGCAATACTAAAATATAAATGCTCATACTGGATCAAACTTCAGATCCACCTAATCCAGGATCCTGTCACTGACTGTGATCAACCATGACTAATAGGGAAGAATAGTGTGGACAGGGTATCATGCAGAGGCACTTACAGATGCATGGGCCTTCATTTGCAGGAACAGAGCAAAATGGTTTTTTATAACCCATTGACATGCAGTTATGTTGCTGTTTACCAAAAAGAACAGCTGGCATAGCTGAGGAAGTAACGGGGCCATTGGGAATGCTGCTAGAAAACTATAAAGATGTTCTTTAACACTAAATCGTATTTCCAAAATTATCAATTTTCACTGAGTTAAGCCCATTGATTTCCTGTTCTGGTCATCAGCCAGGAATATTTTCTGGAAAGGGGGCTGTTTATAAAGTATTGAATATAGTCCTCTTGGTTGAATGAAGCAGTCTTTGCTGTGAAAAAAAATCTTGTTTGTTATAAAAATTTCTTTTTGTTCTTAATGTTTTGATATTTTAAAAAATGCATTTCAGGTTACAACACAGGAATATGAAAAAATACGTTATACAGTAATATTTTATTAATAAAAAGACACATTATTAAAAGTCTCGTTGTAAATTAACATCACCAAAATTATTCAGCAATTGAGATAAAATGCTTGTCTTGTGCAATATTTTTAACAAAGTGTCATATTATATGATTCTATTTCATGTTTACTGTTTACAGCCAACAGAGACCCTATAGTGAAAATTCTTGGCCCTGAATATGGAACTGTTGAAGGAGAAGATACGTCCGTGTTGCATTTACTCGAAAAAGTGAAAAAAGATGATGACCCTGAAACAGAGATGAAAATGAAAATCCTTGTTCTTCTTCATCAGTTTGATACGCAACTGCTTAACAGTGCTTTGAAACAAATTTCACAGTAAGTGCCTTTCAAATAAGGAAGTTAAGCATGTCAGCCTGTGGGGTTTTTTTTATTCTTAAATCAGATTGGATTCAACCCATAACATGTGCTTTTGGTGCAACATAAATAAATTTATTGAAATAACTTTCACTGTTCACTAAGTTCCTGAAAAAACATTTTTTTTCCAAAGATTTTGCTGTAGGTGGATATGCAAGTATGTGCCCTCAAGTGTGGTTTTTTTTTATTGCATATGTTTTGCGTTTTGGTAGCAAATTGAAGTAATTTGTGCAAACAACAAAGTTACAGTTAATTAGTTTCAAGGAAATGTTTATTTCTTCATGGAAGTGTATTAAGTATTACATTGAGCCTGTATCTTAGTTACATCGTATTAGCTGTGGAACTAAAATTTCACTGAACTAGCAGATAAAATTAAGAAAAATAATGGAAGATGACCCATTTCTAGATTTTTATTGCTGCTATTAAGACTCAATGTAAAAGAAAAAATAATGTAATATTCTTTTTTCTTTCTCTGAGTATATCCTTTTGATGGAACTTTTTAAACCGTTTTCTATTAATTTCAGACAAGTAAGACTAAATCCAGCTGCTGTAAATGATGAAGTGAATCTTCTCAAGAATTTCTCTGGAGAAGGAGAAGATACAGTATTGGAATCACTGGAATATACATCAGGTTCAAATCTGATTATATCTTACATTTATATGTGCCCTTACTAAAGTACTTGATTTCCATGTGAAATTTGCTAAGTTAATTTCAATAATAAATTTGAAGTGTTTATTCCTACTTTTAAAGTTAGAAAGTAACACAACAAGTATTTTCAGAACCTGAAAAGTGCTAAGCACAGTTGCAATTCTTGGTCTGATTTGAGCCACGGCTCACAGAGCTTCCCATTATTAATTCCTAACAGTATGAATTCTGAAGAGTAAGGTATTGTTTTCAGAATTTGATTTATACACATTATATTTATCACCAACCATAACTATTTAAAAATACTTTCAAACTGGATAAAAACACTAATGCTAATTGGTTACAGATTACGTATTCTCTAATGGATGCCAAGCGCCTCCCTGGAGACAAGTACATGGAGAAATTTGTTATTTAGTCATCAAACCACATGACACTGATCCTTTGTCCATCACTTGCAGCACAGCAGGAGTGTTTTTAAATGGAGTAAGTAACAAAGAAGTATACAATGGAGTAATAAATATTTTTATGTGCTAAAATAAAAACTCAATCAGGTTTAGGAGAGTGGTGTTGAGGCTGCAAGAGCTGCAGAGCTCATTTATTGATACAGAAGGAGAAGACACAGTTATAAACACGTCCTAGTTTTCCCCTATGCTTTTGAGTGCTTTTTCTATAAGTTTTATTCTAGGAGGGTACTCTGCACTCTTTGTTAGTAGTGTTTGTTTAGTCTTTAAACAGGGCCTAACAGTCCTTCACATTGCTCCTATTTAAAGGTACTGATGTCTCTCTAGTGCCTCATTGCACTTGATCTGGGGTGTAATGACAAGCAGTTATTTCTCCTTTTGGTGTGGTGGAAGCTTTTTAGAAATCACTTATCTCTTGTGCTTTTCATTGTGGTTACTTCTTTCCTTACGGATAGGTTTCATTTAGATGTGATAGTCCTTTGTGTGAATTAAGCAGTAACCAAAGCTCTTACATTCCTTTTGAAGAGGGAATGATGTCCATCAGGCATGACTCCACAAATTGATTTCTGAAGAGTTAAAAAATCAAGGGAAATTTTGACTGGGCACATTTTTAATGGCCGAAGCTCATAAAGCTTAGGCTAGTCATTATTTTCTGATCCTTTTAGACATCTGCCATTGTGCACTGGAAGCTCGTGTTTACTTGGCTGTTTGCTGTAAGCCATAAATTTCTTTGCAGTGGAACTACACACAGTACAATTAACTGATAATAATTACATGCCAAATGCTGTGTAAGATCTTGATTATCTGTTGGGATCCATGGGGATGATTCATGCACCTTTACAAAGCATTATTGAAGTTTCATGGACTCTAGTGAGCATGAGACTTCTGTACCTAACTCATTGCAGTATAACCTCTGTGCCCTTGAGGACTCTTTTATGATGCAGATTCAATTACCTGTGTAAGGCAATACTATTAATTATTTTAAATTTATTCTTTTTTTAAGGGTCGGCTAGAGGGTAAAAATGACATTGACTATGAAAGAAAAAGCGATGTATATAAAGATATTGTGACATTTCTAAGGGAGATATCACCTACATTTGTAGAAAATATGGCTAAGCAGGTATGTATTTATTGATAGTGGGTCTGTATTCTACTTGGTACAAATATATGTTGTACATTGTTGAGAATTGCATTATAAACCTGACTGAACATTTATATTCTTTATCAAAGATAAATCTCTGATTAACTGAAGAATTTCAAAGACTTTGAAATGCATTTATTATTTTTCTTTGGATTTGTTTCAGTTTCTGCTAAATATGTTCCTTTTAGAAATAGCGAGTAATACACTATTTCACATATCATTCTATCATAGTTTAAGATAAGGTTTGATTCAACATGCAAGGTCAACTTCTATTTTGTGTAAAACGTTCTGCTCGTCTTGGTGTTATTCTTTATGGAGCACTGGAAATGTTAAAGCAGGAAAATATGATACCCTTACAGGAGAGGTCAGCTTTTTATGCCAATATTTTTATGTGACAAAAAGCACTTGCATTTTTATCTTCATTCTCTGTAACCCAAATACAAATAGTAGCTGAACTTTTTAACGAGAACTGCCTGATTTAAATGTCAGAGCAGAGAGTTTAGCATCCAAGTTATGCTCCAAAGAGCAAGCATTTTGGTTTTTATGTAGAGCTCTATATTAGCTAGAATCACACAGTGCCACTACAATTTTAGTTGTTTCAACATTCGTGATAAAATCTCTTTTTTCAGATTTCTAGTGTGGTTGTAACACCTTATATCAACAGTAATGAAATAATTTTATACATTGTGCTGTTTTCAAGTGCATTAAGTTCCAAAATGTTTTTTATTTATGTCGAAGGCAAGTATTTTTGTAGTATTATATCTATATATTGGTTTATATTTTATAAATGTGACAATACATGAATGTGTCTGGACATAATTACTGGTTTAATGTATTTCCGAAGTGTTTTGGCTTCACTGGTGTTATGTAAGGTAAAATATGTTTTTACAATTCTAATCCTAAATGTTAATACAGATTATTGTTCATGTTAATAATAGAAATACCTTTCTTGACTGTTTTTCTGTTCTAATAAAGATACTGCAACTATTCAAGAAATGTATACACTTACTAATTAAGAGTAAATAAATAGTATTTATCCTGTTTTCCTTCAGTTGTATAAATTCCTTGTTATTCCCTGACTGTGTAAATAAGTTTATGCTGAATAGTATAAATTACACCATTTTAATGGTTTAGGAATATATCATACTACCTTGCTGAAGAGCTGGTTTAGTACATTCTGCATTCCAAAACTAGAATTGGAACAAGTTAATAAGTAGAGCTGCAGAGGGTTTGTATTTGAGGGAAACTATTCTCTACTCTGGAACTCTGAAAAGCAGAGAAAAGCTGTATTTCCAAGGTTGCCTACATGAAATAAATTATGACTGGAAATAGTTTTGATTTATTTTCTGAGGAGAGGAGAGCTTCAAAAATGTCATGTACACATATTTTGCAAAATCAATTAATTTTTGTAATATCTTCTTATCCTTGTTTAAGGGCAATTGCTGTGAATTGCTGTGTTGGCATATAGTGCTGTAGGAAACATACTTTTAAACATTTGCTTAGCTGGTCAAGCTACAGCATCAGTTCCCCTGTGATTTGTCTAGTTTATCATGTGTTAGTCTAGAGCACATTTTCAGAATAAGATAATTAGCATGAATTAGTTTCTGGCTAGACAGTTGGGTCAGCAAGCTTGGACCAGCTGATTCACAACAGGCAAGAGTCAAAAACAGACCATACTGTGACAGTCTCCTCAAAAGTTCCTTAAATCAGATACATAGAGGAATGTCTTCACCTTTCTGGCAGTGACAGCTGCAACAATAATAATAAGTAATGATCGTATGCTGCCTTTCCTGTAAAAATTGAATATGTTCCAACAGAGAATAAGAGTTGACAAGAGTCCTTTCTGTTCTGGGTATTTTTGATCAGCCATGGCAGTAGAAACAGACAGCTGAAGGATTGGTAGGTGCCACTCAGCTCCATTCTTGGATGTGACTTTAAAAAAAAATGTTTTGTCCTGAGAAACAGAAGATGAAAAAACTGAAATGGAATGTGTTTATATTAATTCTAAACTATACCAAATTAGATTACTTAGAACTGAAGTCTAGCAGTTTATCATAGTCTATTTTCAGTTTCTTGTTCGTTATTTTTTGTGGCAATCTTTTAAAATCCTTTATGCAGGGAAGTAGTTTTTATGTAAATGACACATTGAAAACAGAGTCTGTGACTTTGCAATTCTAGATTTTAAAATTCTTGGAATTAGGTTAAAAAAAAGTGCTTATGTCACAAGTTATTTAAAAGACTAGAAACTGAACAACACCCAGTATTCAAGCCTGTCCAGGAAGTTCCAAATTTAGCTAGTTCCTTTATTTAAAAAACTTCAACTTGTACGTGGTAACAGCTACTTTCCATTCATTCTTTTAAAGGCAATCTGATTTTATGCTTATAATTTAGTTCTACATTTAATACATAAAATCTTTAAGCACAGAATCCTGCTATTGTGCATATAACTTATTGTAATAATATGCATTATTCACATAGCAATATGACTGACAAATCACATCTTATTTTATTAGGAATATAATTTTTTTAAAGAGCCAACATACGAGAAGAGTTACCAGCCTGTGGAAGGAGCTGATGCTAAGGACTCTGGCCAATCCAAGAGCCTTCATGATTTTAAAGAAGATAATGAAAGTGAGAAAGTGAAAAGTTCTGCAGAAGGGAAAACCACTGAAAAGAAGAAATTGGAACCATCTACGAAATGGAAGAATGTTGGGATTTCAACTTCCCATAGATAAGTAGTTATCTTTATAATTGAAATTTCCTGTGAGTCTGTGTAGACTGTGCTTATGATTGAACTGCATGTTATAGGTTTGCATTATTATCTGAAGTTAGCAGCAAGAAAACAAAAATTCCTACATGTTAATTTATAACAAGGGAGTAAGACTTCCAAAGAGATTTCTCCATTTTCTTGTGTCATGTAACAACTTTGATGATGTTTTGTAATTTGCACAGCAAGGCAGGGAAATATCTTGCAGCCATGTGCAGTACTGATCCTCTAAGACTGTGATATTGTAATATTTTTTGGTGCAAAATGCCCTTTAAAGTAAGACAGAGTAGACAATCTATTCTAAACCCCACTTTTAGAGATTCAGGATGGAAAATCAGCATGACTCTTTATTTATACTATCAATTTTTAATTATTTCATGTTATATAAGCCTCTTGTCTAGCTCTGCTTAGCAACAGTCTTTACTAATGAGATTATCTCAAAGTTTGGACACCCAAAAATAGAGAATCCATATATTGGACATGGTTGGAATTCTGTTCAGATTTCATGTGTCCTGATTTTGTCTTAGCGAAGGAAGAAAAGTATCTGAAGGAAAGGCAGTGTCTTCTCAAGTCCGCCAATTTGACACGCTGCAAGAAACTTTTTATGAGATTTTGGATGTCACCTACTTTTATCAGTTTAAAAAATGTGATTTTCTAGGGACAAAAGCTTATCTTTTCCCACAGTCATTGTTAGAACCTAGGTGTAGTGAAATTTGTTGTAATAATGAGTAGTATTCTTGGTTATTGTTGTTACGATGATAGTAAGACCAGCCCATGCGTGAAAAAAAACTATGTTTTCACAACATTGTAAATTAGGGACAAAAAAGTACCAGAGATTGTGCCCAGCTAGGCCTAGGAGTCTTCTTGGAATATGAGGAAAGCAAGATACATTGTATTCAGCATGATCAAAGCTATGGAACATCTCAGTGTGCGGAAGAACAAGGCAGAATACGACTCTTCTGTCTGGAAAAACGGATGACTGGGGGACGATAAGACATATAAAAAATAGTGACTGAATATGGTAAATAGGGAACAGATAGTAATTGTCCATTTTACTACAAGAGTAAAGGGCATCAAATGAAAATGAGCCAGAGAGACCAGTTCAGAACGAAGGGAGCAAATTCCTCATGCAACACATGGCTAAGCTCTCAAATTCCTTGCCACAGGATGGTAGAGGGCATTTGTTTACATGAGTTCAAGAAGCAATCAGGCACATTCATGGAAGAAAAATCCATTCAAAACTGTAAATGAAGGGATGATCAGAAGTTTCCTAAATCACAATTTGCTAAAGAATGTTCTGGAAGAAACAATTTCTGTGTTCTTTATTGTTATTCTACTGTTATTGGTCATAGTTGGAGATTGTAGCCTAGGATAAATGGACTTGTGATCTCTCTGCATGTATTAATTCTTTGTTCTTATATCACATACAGGTCAGGATTATAAGTTTTTTCTAATATTCCACTATTTTATTAAAGCAAAATTATTCAGTTAAGACACAGCATCCTTTCTTTTTTATCAAGTTCATTGTGTAGGTCCATAAGGTTGTATGTACTGACATAACGTGTCCAACCATAGCTTTTTGGTTCTATATCTATATATAATTTATTTTTTTAAAAATAAACCCAGATCTTTTAGAGTCAAGGCCGCAAGAAAAACTATTGAAAAAGAAGGGAGAATTAGTACTGCGTCTCGTAAAACCAAAACTAAAGCCATTTCATCTGAACCTGTTGGAATACGACGGTCTTCAAAATGGTATGTGTTACTTCTATTTTTTTCCTTCATTTAAAAATTATTTGTATTTTCAGTATCAACAGTCATTGTCACCATGGTTAGTATTTGGTAACGTGAATTATATTTTCTCTAATTCTGTTATTACAGTGTATTCAAACCTATTTATAATGTGCTTGTTCATATTAATTTATAGCTGTTAAAAATGGGTGATTCTGTTTTTTTTTAGTACAACACCAGGCAAGTTTGAAGATGTTGTTGAAAGTTCCTCAGAGACTGAGGAAGATGAAGAACAGCCTGTATATCATCAGGAAGGAAGCTCTGATTTGCCACCAGAATACTGGGGAATTCAGAAACTTGCAAAGTATTTAAAGGTAAGTAAGAAGCCTTGAAAAATTTTATTAAAAGAACCCCAAACTATTCTTTACCTTCTACATCTGAGGACACCAGACGAGCTCCTGATGCTTTGCACCTTCCATTTGTTTTAGAATAGCCAGGCTATGTAATATGTTCAAATCCTGGAACTATGGACTTTCCTATCACACACCCATTTCTCTTGCATTTTTTTATCTGCTATTTTTGGCTTATTTATAACCTTAGATTAAACCATCTGTTCAGTGTTATTTAAAACTTAAGACGGTATCATTTCTTTATTAATTATTGAGTTTCTGTTTTGCTTTTTGGGTGAAACTTTCCAAGATATTTCTTTATGTGGATAATAACTTTCAAGAGTTTTTATTAAAACTGAATACTTGCCTAAAGTCTTTCATCAACTATGATTAATGCATGACTGAAGTAATTCTAACGTGGTCTTGTGTTTGGATAGATGCTCTTACTGGACAAAAAAATGTATGATAAACAGGCATCCTCTAAAGCAAAAAAAAAAAAAAGTTTTTTACACAGACTTGTTGAAAAACTTTTGGAACCTATAAATATAGATGTTTAGAATTCTGAGTATGTCTGAAACACATTAAAAAAACCCCAACAACCCTCTACTATTCTGGAAAAGTCGAAAACTAACTGTGTTTTTCCCTCAGGAGAAATTCCTTTACAAGTTTGTACTGGAATTTATGTACTGTAAGTTACTATTAAAAGTGCTGGTTTATTTGGTTTCTTGAGTACAGCTACAGAGTATACACATCGATTGATAAAATGATGGTGCTGGCATTTGGTGCAGCAGAAACACTTGTAAGTATTAAGTAAATCTTTGGCTCCTTCCAGTCCTTCAACCATTGTAGAAGAGTGACTCAGTCTTTTAGACAGTTTTCAGTTCATTCACACTGCTTGTTCTCAGTACAGGTGTGTGGGACCTGTGCTAGTGTTTGTAGTGAAAGAGACACAGAAAAGCATGGATACAAGTCTCCAATCTGTGCCTTAGCTTTGCTAGGTTGGACTTACATATTCTTGTCATTGTGGCTATGCTAAAATAACACTTTGCCAGTGTAATCTGGTGTAACATTCAGCATGTGACTTGCTCAGCCTATCTGCTAATTCTGAACACACAATATATACATTTTATATGATACAGTTATTTCTATTTGCATGTAATTACTGTTCAAGGCATTGTTTTGAAAACTTTCAGTCTACTAATAGCTTGCTTCTGTCTGTTGTATGGACAAGCTCTTTGTATTTTACTGAGAGCTCTGAGAAATACCCATGCTCCTTTTTAGTGAAGATCCAAGGTCTTCCAGGAGAGGAGACTGGAAATTTTTTATGGTTGACAAACTCCCATTTCATTGGCCCATCTATGGGCCACCCTTTTTACAGACAAGGCTCTTGTCTCTAGATTCAATAATTCCAAAACTCCCTTTCCTCTCTAGATCCTTCATATAGCCATGTTTAGATTCTACTATTGGACTTGATTCAACACTGAAACATATCTACACTTGCATGAAACCATTCTGAACAAAGAGTGAGAATGGCAAACAGGAAAATATATTTTTCATGCTGCTTGGTTTTAGAAATTAGTGTATTTTGTTCCAGTAGTCAACAAGCAAAGTTACTTAATGACTTAGAGCTATAAAAAGAAAGGGGAGCATTTTTAAATCAAATTATGAGTACCTATTAAGAAGCGTTTACAATACAAAATTCCATAATATGAAAAAGTTTTGTTATGAAAGTTCAAATGTATAATTGTTTAGATATTTATGCATACTCGAGTCTCCCAGTAGTTCTCTAAATTAGATAAAAATTAAACAACATACTTGAAGATATACTTAAAATAGTTCTCTGTTGATTCTTAGCTACGTAAAGCAAGAAATCCCTAGTGTCAGATAAAGCTGAAAAGAGATGCCTCAGTGCCATACCACAGACAGTGGTTGAAATATTTTATTGATGGAGTGCTACTTCAGCTTGCACATGGAATTCATTTTAATTCAAGTATAAATACTGCACTTCTGGCCAGACTTAGAAGATTTTTTGGCATTCTAGTTGTTCATGTAGGCAACTGTTCATGACACATGCAACATAAGAAAAAATAAATTTAAGGCTGGGATATTTAAATATCTACAAGCATATTTATATAGAAGCACAAATTTTTGAGGGTTTGGTGTGTCTTCAAAAGTTGTATACATTGTTTGCACATCTTAAAAATTTAATACAATTCCTTAAATGATAGATGTTTGAGATGCCAAGTTAGAAAATACAATAATTTATAGGTCCAACCATTTTTAAAATGTCTGTTAAAATAAATGTGAGTCACAATTCAGCAAGACAATTTGCAAACACAAAGTTTCCAGAAAATCTGAAAGATGCCTGGTTTTTGTACCAGTGTTAGATTGTCACGAAAACTTAAAAAGATGGTTGCTTCCTGTATAAACAAAGTTGCCAGTTCCTGGGGATTGTGCCTATAGGCTATACCTCTTCATGGAGAGAAAATTCCAGTGCAGGGGAAATTCCCTTCCGACTTTTTGCCCTTCCCGATTCCCCCTCCTTTCTGAGAAAGAGCAGCCATGTTGGAATTGCTCCACTGGGAAGCAGCTGCTTTTGTGGTCTGGCTCCTTGTCCTTCCTTCCCAGGGCTGTAAAACAGAAGATAGAGCGTGTGTGCTCTTGCCATGTCTCTCCACCCACTTAAGAATGGGCAGCAAAGAGATCAGTGAGCTTGGTGATGGCATCTTTTAGGGCTAGAGCAGATAAAATTGGAATGAAGTGCTCTGTTGATGTTTGTGGAAGTGAAATTCACTCAGGAAAGCCTGTTTCAAATTCCACATCATTTATTGAAGTAGTGCTTCTGAAGTATTAGATTTCTAGAGGAAGGACTACATTTTACATATGAAAAAAAAATAAGGAATAGGGTGAAGAGGTCACATTTTTAATGATCTTTTTACTAGAAATGGAGAACATTAGGTAGAAAAGCAGAATCTTCTTTGCAGCAGAGCTGTAGGTGTTTGTTGGAAAAAAGAAAAAGGGGAAAAAAAAAAAAGGTGAGAGCTGGGCACAATACTTTGTGCTGCCTGCTGTTGAGCACTGATTATTGCCAGTTTAAAGATAAAATTGAGATGTTGAGAGGTGAATTGGGGCTGGTGCCTGTGCCAGGAATAACTCCAATCTCCAGATTAAGTCTTTAATCCCTTAAGCCCTTGAGCCCTTGAGCTGCTAGGTTTTGGTTCCCTGTAAGGGTGTGATTTAAATGTACACCTATGCCAGGGTGAGCTCTGGATAAAGTTCTGCAGGACCATGTCAGTTACAGAATTCTTCCTGCAGTTTCTTACCTCAAAAGTCATTGTAGTTTTGGCTATCTTTCAAGGGTACACTAGTGAAACTGGTCAAATCTCACACTTCATGTAAAGCATCCAGTAATTTAATTTCTGTTTTGAATTACTCCAGTTTGAACAACCTCATTCCCAGAACAGCACTGTGTTTCTTTTCTACTTTGGAAACTTAGGTAGACAAACCTGTGGTCTCTCCCCATCTGCTTGCATCTTGTGCCAGGTCCAGGAGCTGGGGAAAGACAATGGTGCTGCATAGGAGCTAGGGAGGATGTGTCCTGGGTATGGCCTTGAACACCAGCTCCCAGGTGCCCACATGCCTGGGTGCTGTGTAGCAGAGGATGGCTGGGAAGGGAGGAAGTCTGTCACGACTCAGGGAAATCTGATTCCCTAGACAGGGAAAAGGTTGAAAGAACTGCAAGATACACTGGGTGTATTCAAGTCTGCACCACAGCTGCATTTTGGCAAGACCTTTGGAAGACTGCTGTGTTAAAGCAACATTTCTGTAGCTGTCAGGAGGTTCCTCTATATTGGCCCTATTTGATATAAAGATGGCAAACAGACCAGGGAGGCAGCAATGTAGCACAGTATTCCTTCTGGTCTATGCCTCTTCCCTTCTTTCTCTCCAACTCCCTCTAAAAGGCCTCATTTATTTCTAAGCAATTGGGTCAAGGAAATGAAAGCCTTCAGAGATCAAAGCTGTGGGTCTGGTTCTCAGAGTGCCTTTGTTGCAGTGAGCATTGGCTCAGCCAGACATACTGCCCATGACTTCTGCTTCCCCTTTGCTGTGCAAGCAGAGCTGAGCAAGAAGGATGTAGTGTAGCTGCTGCACTGCAGGCAGAGTTTATTTCCTCTTCTCAGGAAGCACGAATTTATCAATGTGGGAAATGTAACTGTGTGTTTGCTTGCAGGAAGAAATAGTGGATCCCCAGCCAAGCTCTTTGAACATGAAGGGCACTACCATTCTTGGGGAAGAAAGGCACAGGTTAGAAATGCAGAAAGTCAAATAGTGAAATGATGCTGGGAGGCTCTTCCAGATGCAGGATCTGAAATGAGAGGTTCATGTAGATAATTTTTGATAAAGTGTGGCATAATTTTATTCCACAGAAAAAGACAGGGAGACATCTAGAGGTTGGAATTTAGAGGCTTGGAGCAAACCGGGGTGCAGGAAATCCATGTATGCATTAAAAGTAGGAATGTAGACAGGGAAGGTCCAAACTATTACAGAAACAGATTTCAGAACATTTGAGTACCAAATCATATATGGTACTTGCCTGTGGGTGTCTGTGTGTGGGAGGGAGTTTGTGGTAATCATAGATAAAGTCTAAAATATCTGGTGTTTTTGGATATTCCTGAGCCGTGTACTGCACAGAGGTCTGCAAATACAAGTTCTGAGGAACTAACTCGTTATTTCTTTATTCTGCTTCTGTTTTCCCGTGAAAAGTTACTGGTGGGTAGAACTTTACAGCTGTAATCAGATCCTTGGATGATTAACAAAGAAGTTACTAATTTGATCAGATACATAACCAATTTAGATATTGTTTTGTGTGCAAAATTATCAAAGAAATTTATCTGTAATCTTAAAATCTGACCCTAGGTGTGGCATACGTGCAAATACTAGAATCTTATATCAGGAGTAGAAGTATCTAATCTCTGTGGGAAATA